GAACACCATGGGTCATAGAAACTATTCTCTTGTTTACTTTCTAAAACGGTGTTTCCCAATCTTGATTAAGATGTATTGACTTCACCTGACTGAAGAATTCTGAGAATTGAAGTCCACAGGTCTTAAAGTTGCCATAGTTGATAAACACTCTTTTAAAAGACAAGTCTTGGCTCATAATAACCCTTAGGTTTGTCTCTTGCTTGTTTTTTTTTTTTCAAAATAACCCCCACCATGTTGGTGAAATGGCTGGCTTCTGGTAAGAATTTCTTCTTTAATGAGATCCAGGGATCAGACACCTGAATAAAATCCTTCTGGTAGAAATCTGCCCAGTAAGAAGGGCCTAAAAGCCATCAAATCACCTATGACAGGGGTAGGCAACCTTGGCTCTTTTATGACTCGTGGACTTCAACTCCCAGAATTCCTGAGCCAGCTTGGCTGGCTCAGGAATTCTGGGAGTTGAAGTCCACGAGTCATAAAAGAGCCAAGGTTGCCTACCCCTGACCTATGAGAAGAGCCAATTAGGATTTCTTTGGCTGGCAATTTGATGAGGAATGAGACACCTACCAGGCATTCATGTGGCTTCTTGCCTGAGTGCACCAGATGATGTTTCTGCAGATGAGCCAACTGGGTGAAACGTTTTTTACAGATCTGACACTGAAAAGGTCTCTCACTGCTATGTACTCTCAGATGAACCTGTAAGGGATAGAATAATAAAAAGGGATTACCTGCAAAGGGATGGTAATACGGCTGCCAAATCCTGGCTGCTTCTGGGAATGTTTATATGTATGGGGAAATCCCAGAGTGAAAGAGTGAAAGCTCATTATAAAACTGATCTGGTAAAAACAGTTGGTTTTCTACTTCTTTCTTGTGAGTGGGTTTTCCCCCCAATTTCATACTCTAGTCCAGAGCTTTGCAATTTTTTTTCAGGCCACAGAACCTGTTTTTCTTTTTTTAAATTTCAGACCTCCTGATTAGGAGGTCTGAAAATAAGCTGCATTCAAGTTTTTCTTTTTTGCCCTTGCCTGGGAGCACAGTTTAAAAAACCCGGGGCTAGCCTGTAGCCCCTCTTTTTCATGCTGATCTGCCATTTTATTAATCAGATCCAATCTGGTTCAGATTGAATATAGTTAAGATTAACTTCATCCACTAATCAGTAGGAACTAAATAGAACAGACTTTCCCAATATGTTATTCCCTGTGTGTGTCTGATTTCAAATCCTATGATTTACAATGACCATGCTGGTTGGGGATGGTTATATTCTAAAGTGTATCGTGACCCCAAAGCATCTTTCTTTTTTATTTATTTACTCATTCATTCAATTTGTATAGCTGTCCAACTCAATCGAGTGAGTGGATGACTTATAGTTCTAAAATTATAAAGCAATTCATCTTGGTTGGATGAAGAAATCCCTGCTTCTTAATCGACTAAAAATGGAAAGAGTGACTAAGAACCTAATAGCCAATGATTTGCAGGCCAAGGGCTCTTGCATAACCTATACACAATGGTGGCAGTATATGAGGGCTACCTATAATATTCACCATGGTGCAAACAACACTTCGTTATCTATAATTGTGTGGGTGTCATAGGGCAGATCCATACTTTCTGTTTGACCCATTGCCAGTGTGAAGAAAGGGGTCTGTATTAGTGATAAAGGTCATGTGGGAATGGTATGTGTGCACACATCTGGGAAAAACGGAGACTAGTTAGGAAGGAACAGTTACTAAAAGGAAAAGGCAAGCACTGGCAGATCAGTCCACATAGGAAATAGCCAGTAAAACTTTCCTCTAGGGATAGAAAGTGAACCAACCAATCAATCTTGTAAAAGTTGTATTTTGAATGTTGCCTAAGCCCAGCCCTGTGGCCAGTTCACTAATCTGGACTGGAATTTCTGAAGATAGGTTAAGAAATATCCAGGAGTAGCATGAGAGACAAACAACTTAGGCTGCAGTGTAGAACTGCTTACAATCATTCCACCCAATCATTAATACACTCATTTGGATATACCTTCAGATTGGAAAGCTGCCCAAAGCTTTTAGCACAGACATTGCACTCATATCTAATTTTGCCATTCTTCCTGTTCAGGGGGGACGACTTGGACTTGTTGCCTTCCTTGGACATTGAGGAATAGTTTTTTGGAGTACTGAGGTTCACAGACTCATGCTGATAGAATGTTGGAGAAGTAGCTTTCAACTGTTGAGTTCTGAAGTCATGAAAAAAGGTTGGATTCTCATAATTACAGCCCAGAAGTGAAAATGTCCCAGCATAGAAGGAGAACAGATTTGGAGATTTTTTAGCATTGTATTTTCCTTGAGTCAAAATGGGAAGATAGACATTATGATATATCCTGGGATATGGAGGTTGTTTCTCCATGATATCTTGGGAAGACAAACATTGAGGTTTAATTTTCCATGAATTGGTTAGTGATAGACCTGATGGGAAGCTAAGATCATGAGAAACCATTACAGATTTGGGGTAATTGGCAGTAGTGGTACTGCAGATATGACAATAGGCATTGGGCATTTTGCTCATGTAATGGCATTCTGAACAGGATGAATACTTGTTGCAAATATTGAGTTCCATCTGTGGTGAAGTAATTGAGTGGCATGGACTAAATCCATAATGATGTTGATTTTCTGTTCTCATATTTCTCTCTCCTGGGAGACCAAGCATCTCTTTTGCAAATTTGAACTTGGATTCTGTGCAGGAACTCTTAAGTTTCATAGCCTGTTTTTCAGCTCTGTGAAAGACATCTGTCATAGGTTTTATGTTTTTGTGGCTTATCTTCCTTGATGGCACATCCTGTTCAACATTTTCTTCTTCATCTTCACTTTTGTCTTTCATTGTGGTAACTGTACGAGTTTTGTTATCATTGGAGTTCCTCTGCAGTGAATGAGAGATCACCTCAAATGAAGGTTCTGTTGGAAGATTTCTCAAGTTTAGGCATTCTGTAAAGGAAGAATGAAAGCTACTTTTTACTATTCTCACTTTGACAACTAGATCTCTATCTCTCCTTGAGATGTTGAAAAGCATCTTTCAAAATCTTTAAAACTCTTTTAAAAAGGAGAAAAAAACAACTACTCCTTTATTGTTTTTTTAACAAATAACAAATTACAGAATAAGCTAGCTTTTATGGCTGTTACTTCTAGGGAAAACAACTATAGTGGATTATAGGAAATACAGTACTTATTTCTTCGAATTTACTCATTACACTTTATTTTCTTTTTTGTCCAAGTGCTCTTATTGTTGTGATGAATTTTATTTTAAGAAGAAGACAGACGCCAATCACAAGCCTTTGACTATATAAATTTGTAGAATGAAGGTGACCTACATAGAATAGTATCCTGTAATACTGTATAGTACAGGCACAAATCAAAAACAGTAACTGTGAAGGAAACAAAGAATTCAAGCTATAGTTTCATCTTAACTACGCATTAAAATATAAAACATATACAATACATATATCTATATAACATATTACCAAGACTTTAAACATTCAGCATTTCAGAAAAAGTAGAAAATTATCTATAAATGAAGCATACTATACTTGTAATGTTCAATTTCTAAGTGTTTCTATTACTTTTGATTAACCTAGTACAAGAAGCAGATTAAATACTATACTGAGAATTGAACACATATTTGGTAGTTTATTCTTTTAAAATTAATGGTAACTGTGACTCTCCAGATTTTGGCAATTACAGTTTATATCATCATAGCCATGTTGGCTGAAGCTCATGGGAATTTGAATCCAATAACACATGAAAAGTCCTCTATCCACAACTATCTTTAAAATAGCCTCTGCTTTTAGTTTTGCAGAGTTCTAAGTCTGTGACTGCAGGGACTCAGAGGAAAAAAAAAACAAGTCTAAATTTAAGAGAAAAAGCCACTATCATTTTAAGCATTAAGGAATATCCCGTCTTCAATGGAAATCAATTAACCAAAGGTGATTTGAAATAATCAGGACTTTAATATAATCAGGGCTCCACTGCACATAGCTGGTAGATCAGTGGTTCTCAACCTTTTTAATGCCGCGACCCCCCAACCAGTCGTAAGTCGGGGAGTACTCAACCGGTCGTAAATCGAGGACTACTCAACTGATGCAGCACTGTTTGCAGACTGGGACTTTTGGCGGGCTCAGCAGGGCAGAGACAGCCTGGACAATTCCTATTGGCTTTTGAAAGCCAATGGAATTAGATTGTATTCAAGAGAGTCTATTCTATTGGCTTTCAGAAGCCAATAGAATAAAAGGGAGTAGCACAGCTAAGGAAAAGGGGGGGGGGGAAATGGCGGACTGCGTTGTTTGGCGACCCCCGTGAAATGGTCGTTCGACCCCAAATGGGGTCCCGACCCACAGGTTGAGAACCACTGTGGTAGATACTATAATTAAGATTTTTTACCCATTCAGTTGTGTCCAATTCTCAGAGACTGCCTGGGCAAATTCTTGCACTTGTCTTGGCAAGGTTTTCAGAAGTGGCTTTCCATTGCCTCCTTCCTAGTGCTAAGAGAAAATGATTGGCTCAAGGTCACTCAGCTGGCTTTGTGTCTAAGGCGGGACTAGAACCCATGGTCTCCCAGTTTCACCATTACATCAAACTGACTCTCTGTATTAATTGCAATTAAGTTATCTCTCTATAATTAAATATGAGTTCAGTTACAATTATAGCTATAATTATAATTATAAACAAGATACTGGTATTAAATTTATATGGCTTCTTCCGAGATAATTCTAGGAACTATACTAAATCTACAGATATTGGCAAGAGCAGATCTGTACAGTATTATAACATTCTCACCTGGCTCAGGTGTAAGTTCCCTTGGAAACAAGTACTGTAAGTGCCTGGATTCCCTGTAGGTAGGACAGACCAAAAGTTCCATCCCTGCTAAGATGGGTGTTATAGTATAGAAAAAGATCTCCAGGTTCTGCTGGCAGGCCATCAGGTTCTGAGCATGATAAGTGGGAGCTGGATTCACGTAGCACATCCAATTACTGAAAGAAGGGTCACTCACATCAACAAGGTGGTGAAGTTTTCCTTCTGCAGAAAAAACCTGAGCGAGAAAGAAAACAGAGAATGAGTGACCTGTTGGGAAATGTCTCTTTAAACGGATTCTTTTTTCTGTAATCACGTAGAATTGTGAATTGTATGTTATTGGAACTCAGTTCCATAGAGAACAATTTTACAGAGAAAGTCTAACAAGCAAGAGGAATGCATTGGTAAACCTGCATGTGAAGTGTAATGCTTCCTCATAGTTGTGATTCATACAACTTAATAGTTTTTCCATCTCTCCAAACTCCCTGCAGGTAATAATCTACTTTTAGAGAACTGATGTTGCTATATTTTAAGTCTGCAAAGCTATGGCCCCCAACTCACTTTATATGGCTCTCAGAGTCTCCAAATATAATGTAATCAATATGTGAAGAAACGTTTGAAAGTTTGTGGAGCAATTTCTAACTGCATTAGGTTAAAAAAATAAATTTTGAATTGAACTGAATACTTTATTTGCCCAAGCATGATTATACACACACAAGGAATTTGTCTCCGATGCAAGACAAATGCTAAACAATAGAATAATAGTAATAACAATAACAATAATGCCAATAAAAGGGGAAAGTAAGAAAGATAATAAAAAGGATAAATAATAATAATGCTATAGCCACAGTACATGGTAAATACATATAGACATTAGACAGCACTGTGAGAATTAGGTGTTCAGCAGAGTGATGGCCTGAGTAAAAAAACGGTCCCTGTGTCTAGTTGTTTTGTCCTGCAATGCCCTGTAGCGCCATCTCGAGGGGAAGATTGAAGCAGTTTATGTCCAGGATGTGAGGGGTCTGCAGAGGTCTTCTTAGCCCTTCCTCTGACCTGCGCAATATACAGGTCTTCTATGGAAGGCAGGCTGGTTGGAGTTGTTCTTTCTGCAGTCTTAAGTATCTGTTGGAGTCTGTACCTGTCCTGTCCTGTCCTTGATAAAATACAAACCAATAAAACTCTGCATCTGTGAAAAGGAAAAAGGGTGGGAACCCTATAGTTATTTTACCTGGTCTGAAGGAGAATCATTTTCTAATGATCAATACTTACCCTCCAAAACTTTTTCCAGTCCATGTGATTGGGAATATTGTCCCTGATGTAGATCTTCCCAGTTAATGGCCCAAAGTATATACCTTTAGGAATGTACTCTTTGCTGATCACAGCTTTTATCTGAAAAAAAAATTGAATTAGTCAGCATAGTGAAGACCAGCTTCATTTTTTTCATATTCCTCCTTGTACATTATTTGAGAATGCAAAAAAAAAAAAGAACTCCAAGATAGCATTTTCTCACTGCAGCTTTTTGGAGTAGTAATGCCAGTACAAATAGATAAAGTCAGACCTGCCTCTCTATATCTATCTGTCTCTTCCCCATTCACCTCCAGCTAGGTGGCAGCACTTAGCTGATTTTACATGATTTACTTGACTTCCAAGAGATAAGCAGAGTTGAATCTGATTAAATAAAAGATCACCAGGAAATCTTATGGGGGTAAACTGAGAAATGGAAAAATGTTTAGGAAGAAAACCTTGGCAAACCAGTTTATATATTGGAAGTGAACTGTATGGATGTATATATGAAGTCACAGCAGTCAAAACCAAAAAGAAGATTTTTCTCTGTGCTTGTATGTGTGCGCGCACACACACATACATGGGTATTAAATAAATTCATGGTTTTTATGAAATGTAATCTGAGCTCGTGTACATTTAAAAGAATCATCGACACCTACATGCATCTATTTTAGGTGGATCTTTGCATTCTTGCTGGATTCCTTGTAGACATACTGTTTCCTCTCTTAATCGGAGTTATGAAAATCTGCTTCTGAAATTCTGAAATGAGGAAAAGGTGGCTGTGGAGAATTCTGGTTGGCGGACACCTGCTAAAATGTTTCTGCAACAGTCATTCTAGTAAATGTGGTTTGATTTCTTTTATGAAGAATCCCATTGTAAAGATAGATACAGTTTACATATTGCTTTTGAGAATAGAGGAACAAACAAGTATTCTTGTCCTAAGGAATACCCAGAAAAGCAAGATTTATTTTTTTTATTGATGTCCACTCTTCATTTAGGAGTACAGAGATACATTGGGTTGAGAGTGAGTAACAAAGTGATTCAGTGGCTGGGTTTCCCCACTTCTAGCATAACATCTGTTTGAGATGCAGCTAAACTATATGAAACTAGGCCTAGAATGTTTTATTTATGGACAACAAATACTGGAGTAGCAGTTTATAATAATAATAATAAAGTTGGAAGGGACCTTGGAGGTCATTGAGTCCAACCCCCTACTCAGGCAGGAAACCCTATACCATTTCAGACAAATTGCTGTCCAGTCTCTTCTTAAAAACTTCCAGTGTTGGAGCATTCACTACTTCTGGAGGCAGGTTGTTCCATTGGTTAATTGTTCTCATTGTCAGGAAGTTTCTCCTTAGTTCTAGGTTGTTTCTGTCCTTGATTAGTTTCCATCCGTTGCTTCTTATCCTGCCTTCAGGAGCTTTGGAGAATAGCTTGACTCCCTCTTCTTTGGGGCAGCCCCTGAGATATTGGAACACTGTTATCATGTCCCCCCTCATCCTTCTCTTCATTAAACTAGACATACCCAATTCCAGCAACTGTTCCTTATATGTTTTAGCCTCCAGTCCCCTAATCATCTTTGTTGCTCTTCTCTGTACTCTTTCTAGAGTCTCAGCATCTCAGCAGCATTTGCTACAGCCTTAAGGGTCAATTCATTGTCAATCTCCTCTCCCCGTTAAAAATTCCTGGTGACCAAAACTGGATGCAGTATTCCAAGTGTGGCCTTACCAAGGCATTGTAAAGTGGTATTAATACTTCATGTGATCTTGATTCTATCCCTCTGTTAATGCAGCCTAGCACTGTGTTGGCTTTTTTGGCAGCTGCAGCACATGGCTGGCTCATATTTAAGTGATTGTCCACTAGGACTCCAAGATCCCTCTCACAGTTACTACTATTGAGCAAGGTACCCCCTATACTATACCTGTGCATTTGGTTTTTCTTGCCTAAATGTAGAACCTTACTTTTTTCACCACTGAATTTCATTTTGTTAGATAGCGCCCAGTATATACCAGCTTCCTTCTCATATACTTGGATGGGAAGAAATTAATGTTTCTGCTTCTTCTTAAATACTTCAGGGGCTTGCCACTCCTATGCTATGAGGGATTCTTTATTGATGCTGACGCTTAGATGTTATCAGTAAAAAGTATCTGCAAGAGATCTGGTGAATTTACTAGGGATTTCCTAGTTAATGATTAGGGATTTCCTGTTAATGTTGTAGATCTTTGCTGAACTTGTAGCCATTCAAAGCTGTGAGGAGGATGAGAAAGCTCTGACTTTCAGATTACTTTCAATGAAAGTAGTCTATATTTTGTTATAAAGAACCAAAAATGACAAAAGCAGCAGCAGTGCAGATTAGAGAGGTTGTGTTGTGTGATCTGGGAGTTGTCTAGATGGGGAGAATATGCATTAATAGTAAAAGGAGGATGAGGATGTGTAATTATGCAGAGCTGAACCAATGAATTAAATTAAATTCTCTCTCTTGGGAGTGAGAATACTGGTAGTACCTTGTTGTTGCTGTCATGCTTGAAGTCCAGATTGAGTGGTAAAGAAACTTGAGCTGGGGGATGAATGGAGTTTGGCCCACAAAGCTGGTCCTTCACAATATAGGTGGATCGCTCCTGAAAAGCAAACTCTCTCAGGGGGATCCTGATTGCCTCTTTCATTCTTCTCTCAGTCCAGCTACCATACAGAGAACAGAATCTGGAGCAACATTTGTGGGAAGGGTAGAAGAATGCATAGTTGAGTCCTTGGAATGGGAGAACCCAATAACAACCCGTTCATCATTTGTCTAGTTTATGTTTTGTTTACCAATATTAGTCGTTCAAATTGTTATGTAAAAGATTGGAAAAATAGCATATCATCAGAGGTCAATTATCAGAGTTTGTTTTTGTAACCCCAGTTAAAATGGGCACGAAGGGAAAGGGAAAGTGAAAATCAAAAAGAGAGTACCGGTATTTAAAAGGAGAAAAAGAAAAAAAAGAAAAGAAGTAATAGTGCTCTCTTCCAAAATGTATGTTGCTACTGCCCATCTCTTCCATGAATGGTGCAGAAGATTTTAGATTATAGATTCAGTGGTCCCCCTTTACATGATAGTTTATATTACATTACCGTATTTCCTCTAGAATATATGGTCATTTTGATGAACTGGGCCCTGTTTTGCCTCCACATCCTATCCCAGTAGTGGCGAACCTATGGCACAGGTGCCAGAGGTGGCACTAGAGCCCTCTCTGTGGGCACGCACGCTGTCGCCCCAGCCCCACCACCCCTCGTGGCCCCCTCCTCACCAGCAGCCCCCCTGGAGGAGAGTTGCCCCAGGCGCAACCTGTGCAGAGCAGCGCAGCCAAGAACATGGCAGCCGGGCAGTGGGGATAAGACTCCGTCCTCGCACCCCATTGCATACAGATGATGCTGCGGGGCATGGACAGAAGGCGTGGCCGTCATGACGCTGCTGGGCCGCCTGTGCGATCTGCTGTGGTGGGCCGTGGAGGTGGTGGGTGGCCCTGGAGGCAGGAGACACAGTGATAGGGCAGGGGCGAGGCGGTTTTTGGGCACTCAGTCTCTAAAAGGTTTGCCATCAGTGTCTTATCTAAAAGATTCGCCATCAGTGGGTTGCCTTTACTTATTTTGTTTATTTTGATACGTGTAAATAAATAGAAGGTGTATCTAATGATATCATAATATGGAATATATTGGTGTATTGATTTGAAAATATCTCCTTTGTCTCTTTTCTTTCGGATAACAATGGTCACTTGTGTTCATTAGTAATAGTTCTTTCATATATTAAGAGTGCTCTTGGGATGACAATATATGACTTTCTGGGGTTAAAGTGTTAATTTCTTGCTATCTATCAATACCACCCATTCCTATTAAAATATACATCCACACTGAAATTTTAATTTATATAGTTATGAACAAACATCTTGTTCTTAATTTCTTGATAACTTTTATCATGTTATGATTAAGGGAATTTAAGAACTAAAACAATTGGCATTTATTATGTGCTCCTTTTCATAAATTTGGACTAGTTACATGAGAAGAATTGTAAATCCTTTTGATACTGAATAATATTAATTAATCTGCATAATTGCTCAGATAATGGTTTTATAGAGGGCTATTAATGTTGGATTAATCTTTGTTAGAAGATTATCAAAACCACAGTCTCTGTCGCTAAATTGAAAACCTGCCACCTCCTTGTGATCAGCAACAAAAATAAGCAGGAATGAACTAAATAAAAGATGGTGGGTTAGTGTCTCTCTTTGTGCAAATATAATTCCTGAAAATCTGCCCTTCTGCTTCAGGGATTATTCTAAATGGGAAGCATTGTCATGAATTAGATTTTGTGTTGTAATGTTTTCATGGAGACATACAGGCTGGTGCCATGATGACATTACAAGTAATATTGTTGGAATCAATGGAAAAACATTTTCTTTTTAAAAGAAGAGTGCAATAATTGCGGAGAATTGGGTGAATAGAGTTGCCTATTTGTTGTTCCCCTTCAAAACAAAAATATCTTGCTGGCTGGATTGCTGTAATGGATTCTTGGAACTGCCTTTGAAAACTGACTGGAATTCTCAGCTGAACTTAAATACAAATTTGTCTTGACACTCACTGGTTGAATTACATAATTCCAACTTCATCTCAGCTCTATTTCCATTTTGTTTCTAATTCCAGCCTAGAGGCAGGTAATAAGTATTTGCAATACTCATGTATCTGCAGGTAGCATCTTTTTTTTAAAAAAAGACTGAAATTCTAATCTATTTTAATTAAACTCACTTGGCTACTACTACACAATATTATCTTATCTGAGAACTGAAACTCACAAAAGGATTAATATTCTGCTAAGGATTTCATAATGTATTGGCATAGTATATGTGCAAATCCAAGCAGTGTGACCTTTTTGTATGTTATCAATGTACAGATTTTTTAAGGGCCATCGAAGATTTACCGTATTTTTTGTATGGTACCCAGTGTGCCGATAAACACTGGGCTCACCATAGCCAGTTTATGCCCAATCTTTCATTTTTTACTTTCATATCTTGACATTGTAATTACAGGTATTATTATTTATAGCCACATTAGTAGCAATATTTAGCAATATTTGACTCATTCTGATCAAAGCTCTGGTCTTCTAAATTTTCAAAGCTGAAACTTTAAGATTATAAGGCACTCTTGGCCATTCTCTGGTTCTGTATACACAACACACTGAATCATAAAGTAGCCAACCATATTTTAGACTGGCTTGGTTTGCAACTGGTCTGTGCAGGTAATTTATAGTTCTTCTGCTATAAGACCAGGAAAATTGTCCTAATTGATAAACTATGGTTCAGTTAACATTATCTGAAGGCAGCCACTGAGTTACCAGCTGAATTGATATGTCAATCCCCCTTATCTTGTATCTTGCAAATACTGTGTATAGAATCCTCAAGTGGCTTTCTGGTTGAGAATTACTGGAGTTGGAGTTCAACCCAGTTTATACCAACTAGACTCTTTTCTTATAAGGCAAATAGCATATTACCCACTCAGTTAATTGCATTCTCATTTATAATGACGGTATGTTCATCATTATATTCTGTGATTTAATCTGTATTCTTACTTGCTATTGCATTCTCTGCAATAGTGAGATGCCTTTTATTCCCTGCATTTCACTTTTATCTATGGTATTCTACCTGGAATGAAGATAAGTACCTTTGCTGGGTTCTTTCATCAGTACGATTCTGACAGCATGTTGTGGCAATCATATTTTGCATGGATATTATATGATGAAGGATTACTGGAGCTTAGGCAAATAGGTATACAGTAAGATAAGGTTTTATTACGTTTTACCTAATCAAGCAGGTTCCAATATAGAGGGTTTGGAGGATACATAGCCTAAAAGTCCAAAAGATTATGAAATACCGGAGTGGAAGGAATTTTAGTAGGCAGAGGCCATGCCCTTTGTATGACTCAAGTGCATCACTTGATCTGCTTGTTTGATACAGAATATTCATATTTTATTTCATAAGTCCTCCCCCCCCCCCAAGAGTGTGCAAGCTCTCAATTTTCCATAAACTCATAAAAGCAACTGTGTCTTTTCCTGGAAATGTTGCTCTAAGGCTCTGCTACTACATTAATGCTAGATCTGAAGTGTTTCAGGTGCTGTGTTTCAATTCCTGCATGCTCCAAAGCACCCTTTCAGATTTTAACCTGAAGCACTTCACAGGCCTAATGACAAATTATTTAAGTGTCCAGTGTTTCATCCAAAAAAAGCTTAAAGTGCAAGTAGTGCCCAGAATAGTGTTTTCCAACCTGAGATCTTTATGGTGTCAACCCTTATAATTCTTACTGCATGAGAATTTTCAGGATTTGCCATTTCAAGACACTTCAGTTGAGAATGCTGTTCTAACACTGTTCTAACGCTTCACATACTTAACTTCTTTTATGTTAAGAACCACTTTATAAGGTAAGATAGACCAACGTATAATGACTAACCCAGGGGTAGGCAATCTTGGCTCTTTTATGACTCGTGGACTTTAACTCCCAGAATTCCTGAGCCAGCATAGCCTACCCCTGGACTAACCCAAGGACACTAAATGAACTTCATGGCTAAACAACAATCTGAATCTAAATCTTCCTAATTGTATTCCAATAAGTCCAATCATTATGTTTCACTACTGACATAGAATTACCTAGAAATCATTCATCGATGTATGATGCCCCCCCCCAAAGAGGAAGGTCAAACCAGTAAAACCACCCATGTAGGAATAGTTTCTTTGATGTGGGAGCTGCTAAACAGCTGGTAAATTTGGTATCCATAAAGCTGTGCTTTTACCCAAAAGGTTATGTATGCATCATAATTTCCTTCCACATTAATGGTATCAACAAAGTTAGATTCCTTTCGACTACGTGGAAATTAACATTCCAATACTTTCATCAAAAATGGGTAAAATGAAGCTGAAAAATTAGAAATTCAGCAGAAAACATGTCATCAGCTAAATAAATACACCATAGTTCCAGTAAGTGTGTGTGTGTGTGTGTGTGTGTGCATACACTTGTGTGAATGAGGAGGGGGGGGGAGAAAAGAACAGCTTACAAAAAATTGAGCATATCTTTAAGGAAAAATTTAACAGAAATTTCATTGCTGAATGATTTGGTGTGTCTCAGAATTTCCTAGAATAAAAATACGTTTAATGCATTGCAAGCAAAGTCCTTTACATATGCTATTTAGACCATTTTAAAATTACCTTCATAGGTCTTAGATGGGCAGTATTTGAACCCAGAGAGTTTTCACTGTCTCAAAAATGATTCCCCGTGAGTTCTGGGGAACTTTCTTTTGGATAAATTGGTATAAATTTATAGCCGTTTTTGCTTGTAAATAGCTTGATGACTGTATGATAAATTTCCTAAAGCTGCATAGATTTTCTTCCCCAATCTGGTTCTGTCTATACATGAAACCTCTCCTTGCACATGGCTGCTTTTTAAAGTGTGGCTAACTTGTCCTTTTTCCTTTTGATTTTACCATTTGAATTCGGAATGCTTTACTCATTTCAGTTTTGGTTTTTACCAGTGTAGCCCCTGAGCATTGCAATTTACCAAAGATGCTTATTACTGAGGAAGGCATCTTGGTTTTCCCATTAAAATACTTCACCCACTGCCCTTCCTCGTTGTGAGAACCCCTCAAGAAATTTTTCTCCACCACGTAGTTGACATGCTTTCCATCCATCCATCCTTGATTCAGCAGAAAACTATATTGGTTGTCTCCTTTTCCAAATACTTTCCTGCCCTGTTCCAAATTCCTAGTTCTTTCAGTCATCTGGATTCCCTCTAGGTAATGGGTGAGAAAACCTACTAATTTTACATGCCTGGAGAAGGATGTTCTTGGATGGTTTCAGAATAAGAGGGAAATACTGTTTTAATCAGTTATATCTAAGAATGACTTAGATTTGCCTCACTCAGGAGGTCAGAACAAGAGGAAAGAAAACATGTGAACTAAAGAAAATAGTCTCTATCTTCTCACAGCAATTTTTCTACTGTTTATTGTCCATTGAAATCAAGTTGGAAAACATCACAATTCAAATAGCATTTGGTACTTTTTTAACTGTTTCCTTTTCTTGCTTCGGATGAAAAGAATTGATTCATTGGATTAGTTGAAATGGTCAACCTTTAGTTTGTTCCCCATGTTCATTGGGCAATACTTGCCAAAATCAATGCCATCCATCCAGTCCAGTCATTTTGAGAAGTTCTAAGAGTCCCTCTTCTCCTGTATTAGAAATTCTGTATTGTGTGACATGCTTCCCCTGTGCTCCAAATGGCACTTTTTCTTCTCATGTTTTGAAAAATGCTTAAAACCTTATTTCACTTCAGTATTTTGACTCCACTTGATTTACTGTTGGCACAAATCTTTACATTTATGTATCTGTGCATTTTATGTGGCAGTAATTCTTTTTGCTGAGTTTTTGCTTTTCTTTTACTTTGTTGCAAGCCTTCCAGAGAATTTAATTGGGATTTTTAGCAGGTATGAATTGTTTCAAACTATGGGATGGGCGGCACATGAATTTAATAGATAAAATAAAGTACTGTATAGTGAAATAAATGAAATGTAATAACTAAACGTGTGGTCAGGAACAATCTCCCACAAATACCCTATCCTAAATCTCAAAATTTATTTTCCATGCAGTTTTCCTGAAAGCTGAATGAACATGACGGTTAGTTCAGCATGACTAAAGCATTCATGCTGCGAACACCTCTTTGTATTCTTAATTCCTTGCAGGTGATTTTTTAAAAATGCAATATATAGATACCTTTGTCAGTCATTCCATTTAATTCTATGCAATATTTATGCTAGCCATTTTTATAATTTGTCATTTTCCCTTTAAAAGAAACAATAGCGGTTTGGACACTTTTGTTCATGTTCACCAAAACTTCAAATGATAGTTTCTTGTTAATAAGAATTGCTGCCTGACCAAAAACCACAACTTGTACCAATACACTGAGCAATGGTATGTGCCAATTCCATTTTAGCTTAATGTGTTATATGAATTATAAATTTCTATAAATATCTCTGCAGTAAAAATATCTAGAAGAGCATATTATAGTATATTTATTGAGTTACATTATATTACCATAGCACTATCCATGAGGAGCCCTTATTATAGATCTAAAAACACTTAAAGTAATTCAGGCCGTATCATCAGGTCTTTTCAAATTTCACCCGAAGAATTACAACCTACGGCCAAGGCTTAGAAGAAATTCATCAGGCTCATTTGTAGGGTGTGTGAGTATATATGGATACATAGACAAGAAAAAGCAATAGAATGTTGCTAAATATTCCAGCAAAATACATAAAAAAGAGCCTTGGCTTCCATAGAGTTGGCTGGTCAAAAAAAACCTACCTTAGTTTGGATTGCTGTTCCATCATCTGTAAAGTCAGTTTTGGGAGAGCAAAAGGGAATCCACCTTGATGTCTTTTATGCACGATATGTATCATTCAGTTTGAATTCACAGGAAGTGTCCTTTATTCTTTGGTTCTCACTTGAAATGGGGAGGATGCTTAAACCAACCTATGCCAAAAAAAGGACAAAGAGAACAAGAGTGAAAACATTCTTTGTGGGTGCTTATTTTCTAAAACTAGAATTGCCCTTTATCTCAAATAGCATAGAGGAGATATCAGTTGCCTGATGACTCAATGACCAAAATACATTTTGCACGAATCTAAGGGGTACTTTCCATACCCTTTCTCAGGATTTCACCCAAGAATTTGACCCAAGCTCTGACATATTCTGAAAACAAATGCCAAAAATCAGTGTAAAAATAACCAGTGATATCGATAATATAAGACAGCAACTTCCATTCCTAAAAAAATAAAATTCAAATACCTGTCCTCCACTTGAGCATATCTTACTATGGACCACTCTGGGTTTTGTCACATTTGTGAATGTTATAGAAGTGCAAAATTCTATCACAGTTTTGTATCTGTAGAAGAAGAATGTAACTCTGGTCTTCAGAGGTTAGTTGGAGAGGCAAAATGGTTGCTTAGAGAAACATAACTAATACAAAGGTATAAGATGGCAAAGCAAGAACTAGCAATTCCTACGGTAAAGTTAATCAATCTCCAAGAATTCCTTTAACCTGGAAAAGTGTGAAGAAAAAATTGAGAGTTTAAACTCTAGAACATGGGTACAGATATAAAGGTTTCTGGCATTTTTGCTGCAACGGTCAACTGCTTTTTTAAAACTTCATTCTTGTCTGCAATAAAGTTTCTAGTGAACCTTAATTATGTCTGAGTCTTCTTCCAAGTCAAGAGCTGAATATTGGGTCCAGGCCTGGAAATTGTAATTTGTTGCTAAACCCCAGTAAAAAAAAAATTCTTTTCCTTATGACTAAACAAGATTTGATGGGTGTTTTGTTCAATGTAAGGGTAACATCTCTATGTTATCAGTTTCTGGATCTGGATATACCCATACATGTTTTCTTAACAGCATTATAGAAGTAGTTTGCCACACTGAAAAATGTTTTCAACTTCATAGTCAACCCACTACTCTAGATTTCACAATAGTCTCCACACCATCAGATGGATCTGTAGCTGGCTGACAAACAGTACTCAGCGAGTAGTCCTCAATGATACTACGTCCACGTGGAGAGAAGTAAGCAGTGGGGTACCACAAGGCTCTGTCTTAGGCCCAGTATTTAATATCTTCATTTATGACTTAGATGAGGGAATAGAAGGAGAACTCATCAAATTTGCAGATGACACAAACTGGCAGGAATAGCCAACACCCCAGAAGACAAGCTCAGGATCCAAAAAGATCTTGACAAACTTGAACAATGGACCCTATCCAACAAAATGAGTTTTAATGTGGAGAAAAACAAAATTTTACATTTAGGCAGGAAAAACCAAAGGTTTAAGTACAGATTAGGCGAGACCTGGCTCAAAAACAGCAACTGTGAGAGGGACCTTGAAGTCCTAGTGGATGATCACTTGACTATGAGCCAGCCGTGTGCAGCAGCAGCCAAAAAAGCTAATACAATCCTGGGTTGTATAAACAGGCATAGAATCAAGATCACACAAAGTATTACTACCGCTTTATTAAACCCTAGTAAGACCATATCTGGAATACTGCAACCAATTTTGGTCACCGTACTACAAAAAAGATGTTGAGACCTTGGAAAAAATTCAGAGAAGAGCAACTAAAATGATCAAAGGCCTGGAGACTAAAACATATGAAGAACGGCTGCGGGACTTGGATTTGTCTAGTCTAAAGAAAAGAAAAAAGGGGTGACATGATAGCAGTATTCCAGTATTTAAGGGGCTGCCACAAAGAAGAGGGGGTCAAACTATTCTCCAAATCATCAGAGGGCAAGACAAGAAACAATGGTTGGAAACCGAACAAAGAGAAAAGCAACATGGAATTAAGGAGAAACTTCCTAACAGTGAGGATAATTAATCAGTGGAACAGCTTGCTTTCAGAAATCGTGGGCGTTCCATCACTGGAGATTTTTAAGAAGAGACTGGACAGCCACTTGTCTGAAATGTTATAGGTTCTCCTGCTTGAGCAGGGGGCTGGACTAGAAGACCTCCAAGGTCCCTTCCAGCTCTATTCTATTCTCAAGTGCTACGTCTGCCTGTTTACTTTTTTTACAACACATTTGACTAAATGCTTCCACCTAGCTAAGTGTTTTGTTTTGAATATTACTCAATTTATAGAGAAAAGTTTGGACTCTTAAGTAAATCTTCCTTTCCTAGTCCCTTCCATAAAGATATATGATAGGGAATATGGGAGTTGAATCTCAACATTTCTTGAGGGTATCAGGTGAGGGAAAACTTTTTTTAAGCCTTTGAGGATTCTTATCTGCAAATATTTATGTGCTAGAAACACATTTTCTGATGAGTAAGCCCCATTAAGCTTAATAGAATTGGACTGTTGTAAAGCCAATCAAAACAATACAAGCAGAACCTGGCACTATATTTTTTTGTATAAGTTTTGGTTTGAAACTTAGAGGAAACAAAACAGTTGTGATTTTGGAATGCAGCATAAGACTTGATTGCATATTAAGGAACTCAAGTTGAAGAATGACCTCAACTCAAAGGGAGTGTATATGTGTATTAAGGGGAGGGGAGATAACAAGATTGATCAATTTCAGTTGTGCATTTGGCACTTCCAGTGAGGATTAATTGTGATTTAGTTCATCTTCAGGGGACTAGAGACAACATCACAGTTGAGATTGGTGCCCAAAAGCTAGCGTTGGACATCAACTTCCCCAGATAAAGGAGGAGGCATGATAAAGGAGGAGGCACGATCTCCAGATGGATGTTCCCTGTGAATTAACTGCAAAAAAGGAACTTTTTGTGGTTTGCTTGCAAGTTGAATCGCTGGAAAGAATGGGATTCTATCTTCATTCAAGGCTGTGGTGCAACCAATACATACACTAGAATCGACCAATCCTCATTTCTTAAACGCATTTGTATATAATTATTCTTTTACCCGACAGCAATTTTCTTTTACTACAGATAAATAGATGAAACTTGATCATATGGAAATTTCTGTCAAACAAATGACTGGAGTATAAATTAATGACAGGATGGACATTTTAAGAGAGTAAATCAGACGTTAGGGGTAGAAAATTGGAGAGGGAGATGGATAATGTAGCTTTGTTGCAACTCAGAAAGAAGACATTCTGTTTGAGATTTAGAAATATTCCAGAAAGTTCTGATGAAGATATTAGACTAAAAGTTTAATTTAAAAGTGATTTGGAAGAGGTTCAAATGGAGGCTGACTGCTCCAAAAACATAACAGATACAAAAGGTGTCTGGGAAAAAAAATAGTTCTGAATTGGGTGCAACAGGCACTGATTTTCTAATCGATTGGCCTAATTATGGATTATAAATATTTAATGTGGAATATAAATAGAGCAAGTGATCCTCAAAAGGAAAAGCTGTTGTTGTTTTTAAGCCCTGGTTGGATTAAGTGGTAGGAAGGGAACGAAGGAATGAAAATGGGAAGCCTCTTGTATTTCTTCCCGTTTCTTTCATCAGTTCGCTCCAAAATTGGCGTTTTTCAGTAGCCTTTCCTATAGCAAGGGGAAGTTAGAGGTGGAAAGAGTGATCTCAAACATCTCCTCACTCTCCTATGGAAAAAGAACAAATGTACAATGGAACATTAGCCATTTTGCTGTTGAATCAGGGCCTCAAATGGGGCGTTAATAAATGTGCGCTGCTTGTGAGCTGTGTTGTGGTCCACTCGTGGTTTGTGGCTTAACGTTTTGTCTAATTTATAGTCTAATTTCTTTTTAAGGCTGCCCAAATTGGGTGCCACCACAATGTGTAAATCAGCCATGAAAAGAAGGAAAGGTGGCAGTGAACCCTTTTGCAAAACTCACCTTTCCAGGTGGAAAGTTTACTTAACGGACTTTTTGTCCTTTTATGAGCAAGCACAAGGCAGAAATCCAGTAGAGCATTTTGCATGGTGCAGATATTCTGTGTGAGTAATCTGCATCCATTTTATTCAAGGGTTTGGGACTGAGGCCCTGCCAGGAAACCTTTTAGCAACACGAGGAAGAAGAAGGTTCCCTGCCCTTTTCTTATAAACTGCATATTCTATCTTTATTTATTGTTTCCTCTACTACTCCTTAACGTCTACCCTCTTTGCCTTTGCCCACAGCCACATTGACAGGAAAAGCAGATGTAAAGCCCTCCCAGCAGCAAAATAACTCATACTGAGAAACCACAATAATTCAGAGCAGAATAGTGAAAGATCAGAAATCTTGCAAGCAAATGTGCCCAGAGATAGGCTACTAGAGCTCCTACTACTATACCAGTTTTACTAAAAGAAACGTACCCCAGCAATGTGCAACCTTCCCTGCTAGCTTCTGCACTGACTTTTTCACCCTTTTTCAATCACCCCTGGTAATTCTGTCGACCTGTTTAGGTAAGTTAATATCTCCCAAATGATGACACAACTGAAATGATGATTCATGGGTTGTGTAGTAATTTATAACGTGTCTGTCTATCTAATTTTAACATTCACTCAACATGTTTAACCAGATCACTTACAAATTTAGCAGCTACATATATCACATGCAAAGCTTTTAACTTTGATTAGTTTTTTTTGGTGTCTTAGTATATATGAATTAAGCCAAAGTAATTAGCTTACGGTTCAGTATATTGTATAAACCCACAAAACAGATTAGTTCAGGTTAATTAGGTTGTGTAAACAAAAATGAAAATCACATTCCCTGTCTGTCCATTCTGTCAAAGCCTGAACTTTTATTCTTCTATTTTTGAGTGGGTGCATCTGTCTCTAAAATACCTGAATGTTTACTTCATTGTCATACCTGTGAAGTTTCACAATAGATATTTATCTTTTTTTTTCCTAATCAATTTCCCTTTTGATGTTTTTGCTCTTGTGTTAACACCTTAGAGCATCCTCTGGTCATTATAGAAGATGCAGGTTCCAATTGAATCATGAATCATGAACCGGATGTATGATG